ACATCATTCCACTGTAAAGATACTATTTTTCATTTTGTACTTAATAACTAATGTGTGGGAAGATACTTTGGGAATACATAGATAATATGCTTCCCATAAAACTTTCACTCATTAGTTTTAGTATCCATTTATGACTCTTGCCTGAATCAATTATTACTATGGTGGTTGCCAAATAGTAAATTTCCTACAGAAGGGACGCCTCCTTAGCTAGGACAGCAGCCTCTGATTGGCTGCAAGAGTGGAATCTAGGTGGAAACAAGCTAGCAGTTTGGTTCTAAAACACAATGACATTTTGCAGTGCCTGGAAACCTTAGATGAGGTCAGTTCTTTGGCAAGCCCCACTAGCCTTTATCAGGGCCCCAAATGGATTCCATGGCTTTCCCAAGATGATCTCCATGATTTTTGCTCAGTAGGCCCCATGCCTGCCTGCTCTTATTATTTTCAATCAAACTTGGCAGCAGAGGTGGTAAAGGAGTGAGGGGTACTCTTGCTTTCCATTTTGACTTATTTGACTAATAAAAAATGGAATTCCATTTTCTACACAAGCTCTTTTGCCATTCTGGAGACCCTCGCATTTTAGCGCTGGGATCAAGGCATCATTTCTATGTGGATTCATGTACAGAAAAGGAGGGGGCACCATGACCCCCTCCCCTTGATGTTAAAAGGAGAGTAGTATGTGGTGAGGCTATTTCTTTTGAGGGCCGTGTTAGCTTCCTAGGGTTGCCCTAAAAACTACGACCAACTGGGTGGCTTAAGACAACAGAAATTTATCCTCTAACAGTTCCAGAATCTAGAAGTTTAAAATCAAGGTGTGGCAGGGTCATGTTCCCCCAGAAGCCTCCAGGGGAGGATCCTTCCTTGCCTCTTCCAGTTTCTGGTAGCCTCAGGCATTTTTTGGCTTGTGGTTGCATAACTTCAGTCTTGGCCTCCATCTTCACATGGCCTTCTTTCCTCTGCATCTCTGTGTGTACTCTTTATGTGTGTCTGTATCCAAATTTCTCTCTTCTTCTAAGGACATCAGTCATGTTGGATTACTGATGTAATCAGTAACCAATCATGTTGGTCCACCCTAATGACATCATCTTAACCTATTTCCAGATAAGGTCACATTCACAGGTGCCCAGGACTAGGACTTGAACATATTTTTTTGGAAGCCAGTTTAACCCACAACAGGAACCATGTTTGAAATCCAACTCATTTGATAATACAAAGTGGAGTGCTATTTGCTATAGTGCATTAGCCCAGTGTAACAGGGCCCTCTGTCACTCCTGCTCACTTTGGTCTTGGTTGGCTTTGCCAACATGTAAGGAAGGAAACTGAGCAGGCAGAACTGCTCAGCCCCCTTGAAATAGACTTTGGGAACAATTTTCAAATGATCACAAACTATTTATGTAACCATTAAAAAAAGGACAGTAATAGAAAACAATCCAGTCTGTAGGGCTCTAGCCCCTACATTCCTCATAGAATTCTCATAATTATGATATAGATTTGCCACCATTTGACAGGTGGGGAGCATCAGACCCAGAAAGGTAAAGTGAATTCCCACAGATCATGCAACTACTGATAGGAAATTCCATGCAGAGCAGAAGCATGTCTCTGAAGCATAGAGCTTGGCTCTATGGTAGGGGCTCAGTAAATATTTTTTGACTGAATGAGTGAATGAATGAGTAAATCTGGAACTATAGGTATGGTCTTCATTTCCTGATCTGTTACTCTTTCCACTGTACCTCACAAATAACTGTAGACTAAAGTATAGTCTCAAGACAGGGAGTGGAATATAGATATGACTAGGTCAAATTAGATTTTTTGCTCTATTTGATAACTTTCTGAATTCTGTGGTTATAAGCACATTAGTCTATAATTGATTTTTTTTCCTGTTCAACACCTGCTAGGCTGATCAAGAAGCCATTTTGTCAAGGTACTTAAGCCACTGACTTTAGTTTTACTTGAACTATATAATATTTGTCTACAATTATATTTGTGTCAAAAGTGGGCCTTACCACATGGACAGTTTTATTATAGAAATGTATCAAGGAAGTAAATAATTCAGTATGTTACCTTCATATCTTTGAAATAGAATGTTGATATTCCCTTATGCCTATTTCTGGGTCTTCATCAACATCACTGAAGTAGCCAGGAAAGCTCCATTTAGCCTAGCCAGCAAGGATTCATTAACAACATGCTGTGTGCCCAAATCTATGCTAGGTACTGTGGGGAGAGGGGGAGGGGGAGGAAAACAGAAAGAACTCTCTCAAGGCATTCATAGAACTTGAACCCAGGCCCCAGTGACTCAAAATTAAATAATATGAGACAGCTTATAGTCAAGTGCTTGGTTTCATGTGCCAGATGCCAAATCCCTTTATAACCTTCCCCTTACAACCACCTGTTCACACTGAAGGGCTCAGGTTCAGTGTACTTGGGGAAGTGGAGAGGGAAAGCTGGTTCACATTTCCACATTTAACTCAAACTGCCCCTCTCTGAAGCTAGCCAAATTGTTATTCTTGCAAGCGCCTGAACTTCTGGGGCAATTTCTCCACATTTCTTAACCCCAGAAACACAGTTTCCTCTAAGCTGAAAGGAGCCTCTCTCCTTTGGGTGGTGGCCAGTACCTCTTATTTCAGAACCACAAGACCCCTCTCCCTCCTTCCTACCCCTATGCTTCTAGTCACATCAAAGGCATGAAAGAAATTTAACTTGTTTCTGCTTTTCTTTTTCCGTGACAGGGAGAAGAGCTGGCTTAGTCAGATGTAGAATCTTTCAAGTGTGCTCAAGGCATTACCAATCAAATACCTGCATCCGAAACATCAGATCTCTTGATGTTAAAATAAAAGGGCACATGTGTTCTCTGCCTTTCCCCCCAATGAATACATTAAGATGGAAAAGGAAAAGTTTGTTCCTATGTCTGTAGTTCTAATTTTCAAGAATCAAGGAGTTACAGTGTGTGGAGGTAGGGCTCTCTCAAGAGAAAAATTGGAAAAATGAAGGCTTTTGTAAGGCACTTTAAAAATGAAGAATTGTGCTTGAGATTGTTTTTACTTTTTACTTTAAAATAATTATAGATTTACAATAAGTTGCCCTTCACACAGTCTTCCCCAATGATTATATTGTACCTAATTATAGTACCATATGCAGACTAGAAAGTTGACATAGGTACAATGTGTGTGAATAGTTATTTTATTGCAGGTATAGATTTGTGGAATCACCACCACAATCAAGATATGAAACTATTCCATCACCACAAAATTCACCCTGGTGCACCCCTTTAGAGTCATACCCATCCCACACCCCATCCCCACCATCCCTAACCTCTAGTAACCATTAATTTGTTCTCCATCTGTAATTTTATACTTTAAAGAATGTAATTTCCTTAAGAAAATCAATTGGCACTCCTAATTTTCACAGATTCTCAAGCTTGAATTAGACAATTCTCTAGCCCAATCTCCTATCCTATGCCCAAATTCCCTCTACAATCTCTCTTCCAAGTGTCCATCTAGCCTCTACTACAAACTAGAACCTTATCTAGGAGTTTGGGAATATTGAGATATTTGATACAACAGTTTTAGACCAAGGACATTGTTTCCTTCCATATTCAATAATTAGCAAAATTCTTCTCTTTAGATTAAATGTTACAAAATGTCCTCTTGTGTACTGATTTTCCCATCATACCCTGTTCTATCCAAAAAAAATCTCCCTTTTCTATGCCTCTTACCTAGTGAAACATGACATGCACAAAATCTGGAAAGCTCACAGAAAATTCCAGACATTCTTTCCTTAACTGTAGATTAAATAATTTGGCCTTCAGCAATTGGGCTCTTCAAATGTAAGTAGTTCATGTATGGAATTTATTTCCTGGTCTGATTGTGAGTGTGTTATCTACACAGCTACAATGGTCATTCCTTGAGATAATCTGAACTGGAGCCCAACTCTCAGGGCTCCCTTGTGGGCAAGAGAGCTTTATCGAGCACTCTAGCCCATAACATCTCTAAGTCATGGCAAGACAAGAGGGGCTAACAGAAGTGAAGCCATGGAGGTTCCATGACTAGGATTAATTTGGAACCCCATCCTCCTCTTCCCTGGACTATTCTGAAATCTTTCTACTTTGTATGAACTTAATTTGCTCTTCACATCATAAAGAACACTGTACTCTCAATTGGATAGCAGCACATACACAAATCCAGACTCAGACCCATTAGGATGTGCCCTTTAGAAGAAATGACTTCAAACTAATGGTTACCTCTACAGACAGACCCAAAAGTAGAGGTGGGGTGTGTATCTCACTTTGGGCCAAGAGACACTACTCTAGTGAATGCCTTCTTCTTTCTTGAAGTCTGGGCAATAGTGCCCCAGCCCCCTACTTTCTGAATATGGGGCCCCTCCTTCCAGAACACTCATCACTTCTCCATAGATAAGGAGAGAGTGAGGAGCCATGAGGGACTGAAGGAGAGAATGCAGCTAGTTATGTGCCCCACTCCAAGTGCTACTGCTCTGGATCCATATCACAGCTTATAACCCAAAGGCCTTTAATATGCATGATAAATGCAGCTACTCATGTCTCAACATTTCCCTCCTCACCAAATAACCCAACTGTAATTTGTAATTTCCAAAGTGAAGAGATATTTTCAATGATTTAATAATCCTGACACATTCTCAGCTGCCTTAGTTTTATTTTAGGGGATAATTGTGTGGCTACTCTTGTGCTGTCTTTTTCTTTAACCTATGGTAAGCAGAAAGGAAACAGGGTCAGGTTATGACCTGGATGTCAAATTTTGCCCTGTCTCTTCCTCACTGAGAGGCCTTCTTGTGTATGACAAGTAACTTCAATTTTCAGAGACCCCGTTTCCTCATTTGCAAAGGAGGGATAAATAATAACTGCCCCCCTCATCTTACAAAGGTTAGCTAAACAAATCTTAGAAAAGTCATTGTACAAGTTTCAGAGGGAAAGTATACTGACTAAAATATTCAAATACAGTATTAAAAATACTACTTAACTTTTTTTGTCAGTGCTCATTTTGGCAGTGCATATACTAAAATGGAATGATACAGAGAAGATTAGCATGGCCCCTGTGCAAGGATGACATGCAAATCCGTGAAGTGTTCCATATTTTTTCAATTAATATTTGACAATGGAGGCAAGAGCATGCAATGGAATAAAGACAGCCTCCTCAACAAAGGAACACAAATAGAGGACTCGTGGGCATGAACAATGGGGGGATTGACTGTGGGAGTGGGGGAGTTGGATAGAGGTCAGCAATGGAGAAGAATGCAGGCCAACTATAACTGAACAACAATAAATTTAAAAAATAGAAATAAATGGTGTTGTGAGAACTAGACTGTACATGCAAAAAAAAAAAAAAGAATCTAAACCACCTTCTTGCACCATACACCAGAATAAACTCAAACTGAACAAAAAACTTAAATATGAATCATGATACCATAAAAATCCTAGAGAAAAACATAGGCAGGAAAATTTCAGATATCTCATGTAACAATGTTTTTGCCAATATATCTCCTAGAGCAAGGGAAATAAAGAAAAAAAATAAACAAATGGGACTACATAAAATTAAAACACTTCTGCACAGCTAAAGAAACCATATCAAAATGAAAAGGGAACTGACTGGGAGAACATATTTGTCAATGATACCTTGGACATGGGTTTGATCTCCAAACTATATAAAGAACTTATAGGACTCAACACCAGGAAGACAAACAATCCAACTCAAAAACAGGCAAAGAAACTGAAGAGACACTTCTCCAAGGAGGGCATACAGAGAGCCCAGAGACATATGAAAGGATGCTCAGCATCACTAGCCATTAGTGAGATGCAAATTAAAACCATAATGTGATACCACTTCATACCAGCCAAAATGGTTATCATTAATAAATCAACAAACAACAAGTGCTGGTAATGATGTGGAAAAAAGGTAATCCTAGTCCACTGCTGGTGGGAATGCAGACTGGTGCAGCCACTGTGGAAAACAGTATGGAATTTCCTCAAAAAATTAAAAGTGGAACTGCCTGTTCACCCATCAATTCTGCTGCTGGAAATATATCCTAAGAATCCTGAAACAGCAACTGAAAAGAATTTTGCATCCTTATGTTCATAGCAGTGCTGTTTACAATAGCCAAGAATTGAAAACAGCCTAAGTGCCCATCAGTAGATGAGTGGATTAAAAAGCTGTAGTACATTTACACAATGGAATACTATGCAGCAGAAAGAAAAAAGGAACTCCTAACTTTAGTTCCTAACAGCATGGATGGAACTGGAGACCATTATACAAGTGAAATAAGCCAGTTGGTGAAAGACAAATACCATATGATCTCACTTATAAGAGGAATCTAATGAACACAATAAACTAAAGAGTAAAATAGAACCAGAGGCATAGAATCATGGAACAGACTGACAGCTGTAAGAGGGGAGGGAGAGGTGGGGACTAATTGAAACAAAGTGAAGGGATTAGTCAAAGAACATACACAAGGACCCATGGACATGAACAATGGTCTGGGGACTGAATATGGAAGTGAGGGGTGGGCTGGGTGGAGGATAACAAAGCGGGTAAAGTGGGACACTGTAATAGCATAAACAACAAAATATTTTTAATTTTTTTAAAATTTAAATGTTTAGGAAAACATTTTTAAAGTGACTTAAAATGTGATCTATTTTACCTTAGGTGGCTTTTGGGGCCTGTTTTGAGGCAATTCTTAGTATTCATTATATTTTTTAGCATGAGGGCAATGTTGGCCATAAAATATCATGAAATCTGTGTTAAACAAAAATAAACTTCTACAGCTCAAAGCTTTTTAAAAGGAAGGTTTTATGGAACCAAATGCTATCCAGAAAAGAACTAGGTCCTGGGGCATTTAGTCTAAACCACCAGCGGCATGGTCAGATGGCAAAGACAACATGTCCACTGTCCTGGAGTTGTAGCCTGTTTTATACATTATGTTTTGGGAAAGAAAGATGTAAGTTGTTTTGAAAGAATTTACATTGGCTACAGATAAGGGAAACAGGAAAAGGTGAAGCAGGGGCAGCTCTATGGTAGGTGCACAGTCCTTAAGGAAGAAACATTTACTGCTTTTGATTGGTTACAGGCCACAGTCCTGAAAGTTCATGCATATACATGATGCAGTGGCATCTAGTGGTTGGCTAATAGATGCCTGGAGGCTGATTCAAAGCTCCAGCAGACATTCAGGAATGTGAACAGTCTTGTTAGTTGCCCCACAGCTATTAACTACTTAACTATTTCTGTTTCTTACTCTTCAGCTGCTGTAATTTAGAACATCTCAGAATTTTTCTCTTGTCATCTGTTTATAATGTGGGATTAAAAAAAAGGATGTGGAGTAAAGTGAACCAAGTAGTTCTTTATAAGGCAGAGAAGATGCACTAGCAATTTGATTTCATGCATAAAGACAATTGGCTTTGTTGATCCAGTATGTTTACTACTTTTAAGTAGGATTATGGCTTCACAACAGCAAGTTGTGTCCAGGCCATCTGGTTGTAAAGTAGAAAGTGAATCATAACCCCTGTGGCAGCCTATCACAGGCTGGTTTGTGTGCCTTTTCACCTGGCCATTTGTGTGTGTGTGAAAGCAGATTGCTCTGAACCAGAACTCTGGAGCATCAAGCTGAGAACTTCACCAGGTTTCTGCTAGAGGCTAATTAATTATCAAATTAGCTCATTGCAAAACCAAATAGCCATGCTGACCCATTAATGTAGGTTCCCAGTGTCATTAGGGCAGCAGAGAGAAGGAAATGGTCCAATCTTCTAGGATTAGAGGGAAGAAGTTCCTGAGATCTAAATAAAAAGTTCCTGCTAAACTGGGGACATGCTCCAGGAATTATGATTTTTCTACCTTCCCTGTAAAGACCCCTTTCAAAAAGCTACCCAGAAAACAAAAGGGCCTATTGCATTGTGCAGCCATGCTCAGGCATTTAAAGCTTCCTTCTCAGTTTAAGCAATTCACACTCCAACAGAGCTATAGGCTTAGACCCCTCCAGCTGGTTAGAAAGTGAAATAGCAGTCAACTACTTGCCCTCCTTGCCTATCAGTTGTCAAACTTATCTGACTTTTTAATGCATTTACCAGTCATTTTAGCTTACAGAAAAATGTTTTGTTCTGGGAGAGCTTGTTCGGTTCATATTTGGATCAACAGTAACTGTCAAGGGGAGTAACTTTGATGATCACTCCAGTTTTGGGGTTTTGTTTTTTTTTCTGACTGCTCTAAAATGTTTAGTTATCTACATGATACCTTAATAACTTCTTGGAAAGTGAAAAGGTGTTTTAGTGCAGCAAGTGATTGCTTGCATGACAACAGTTTGTTTTTCTTTTTTTATTTATATTTTTCATTGTTGTTCAAGTAGGTTTCTGCTTTTTACCACCATCCCAGCCCACCCCCCAGCTCTCCCTACCTCCTTCCCATTTTTCTGTTATTGTTGTTGTTATCATCAAAATGACTGGTTCTTTTTTTGTGTTGTGTAAAAACATACTATATCCTATTGTTTTTTAACTGAGTTGCCCCAAAAGTGAACTAGCTGAGAGATAGCATGCTACAAATGGTAAAATCATAAACTCTGAAGCCTGACAGGTCTAAGTTTATTAGTTACGAGATCTTAGGTCAATAATATCTCTGAGCTTTAGTTTTCTTATCTATAAATTGGTCATGATAATATCTGCCTTGATGTGCTGTTGCAGGGTTGTTAGGAGGTTGGGTCTACTCTGGGCCAGGCAGTGCTTCCTAACTTTTAATGCACATACAGATTGCCTGGAGATCTTGTTAAACTACTGACCCCAATTCAGTTGGCCTGGGGTGAGGCCAGAGTCTTCATTGCCAATAAGCTCCCATGCTGCTGGTCCACAGTCTACACTTGGAGTTACAAGGCTCTACATATCAACTTCAAAGTGCCTAGCACAGTTACTGTTTGATACATGGTCACCCCAAAATAATTCAATCACTCAAAAATTACTGAGAAGAAACCTTTTTCCATAAAAGTAATACCCATCTGCTTATAGCTATGTTACTATATAGTCTTTGCAAAATGCCTCTTTGAGACTGGCCATGGTTGGTAATTTCTGAAGGTAGGTGATGGGTACACGGGAGAGGTTCATATTATTCTGTCTGCTTTTGTACATGTTTAACATTTTCCATAATAACTTTTTTAAGTTAAAAAATAAAACTCTAACAGGATTTTTAGGACAGTGAAAGTATTCTGTATGTTACTATAATGGTAGATACATGTCATTATACATTTGTCCAAACCCATAAAATACACAACACCAAGAGTGAAAAGTAAATGTACGATGGACTTTGGGTGATATGATGTGTCAATCTAGGTTCATCCATTGTAACAAATGTACCACTTCAGGATGTGGATAATGGTGGATGTTATGAATGTGTTTGAGGGGGTAGAGGGTATATGAGGACTCTCTAGTTTCTGCTCAGTTTTGCTATGAACCCCAAACTGCTCTAAGTAATAAAGTTAAAAAACTCACAGCCCTGGCCAAGCTCCTTGGTTGGAGCATCGCCCCGCATACCAAAATGTTGCAGGTTGAATCCTTGGTCAGGGCACATGCCTATATTGTGAATTCAGTCCCCAGTTGGGGTGCATGTGGGAAGCAACTGACTGATGTTTCTCTCTCACATCAATGTCTCTCTCCCTTCCTCCCTCTAAAGTCAATAAGCATATCCTCAGATGAGGATTTGAAAAAACCCGCAAACAGAAAACACCAGTTTCCTAATAACCTGAAAAAGCAGAAGATACAGGTTACCTAGAACAGTGATCAACTCCCTAACCTGTTCATTAGGGCGGGGGGGGGGGGGGCGGAAAGGGGGGAGAGAGAGAGAGAGACAGCGCTTTCATTTCAATTCTCTAAATAAATTCACTCCTAACCTTGCTTCCCATGACATGATTCTGCCAAGGTTATTTATCCATCCATCCCAGGGCTTAGTGCATTTCCCCCCTTAACATTAGCACAGTTCACACACTTCATTTTGTCAGGATGGATTTTGCATTGTTTTTCTCTACCTTGGGGGACTAAACTCTGTCTATATCTACATGAATCATTTCATTCATTGAATCAGAGCATTTCTGCACCTACCTAGATCACATCC